AGACAGTTTGCCACTCAAGAGTCTAAGCTGTAAATTTACAGTTATATTTTTCCACAATTCCTTGCTAGCAGTGATATTTCTGCCCTGAAGAACAAGAGTTATACTGCTATGATACAGCAATGTGTTTTGCAGTTTACAATGTTTAAACACTACACAATATCAAACCTTCAACCAACTTGGATTGCTATTATATTTTATTTAATTTCTACAGTTTTCAGGGTACAACAGAAATTTCAATACTGTATGAGATAATGTTGACTTCAGTTAAATATAGTATTGGCGATTAATAATGATAAAAAAATAAAATAAACCAAAGAAGAACTTAATTTAAGCTAAATTGCTCAACGCATGGAAATAGTGCTTGAGCACATCAGGAAGTGAACAGGATGCCCCCGTTAAATGGTGACAGTCCAGGGGGCTGTAGCAGCGAGGAGTATTCACCCCTGTTATATTTTTCCATATACTCCAAATATTTGTCTTTTCACTTTATGTTTCATCCCCTTTCCTTTCAAATCAATTCCGTAGTTTGAATTAATAACAATGAAAGTTATTTTCGACAAAGAACTTTGAAATATAAGGCCAAGGTATCTGCCAAAACTGCACAAATTAAAAGTCAAACAAGCATTGCAAGCATTGTTAAACTGATGTACAACTGAATGTAGGCCTATTTCATAAGTATCAATTAACAGACAAAGAGTCAAAGATTTGACAATTACCAGATGTTATGTTAATCAAGGTGATTATAGTCTTTGAATTTCAACTGAGGAAAATTACTGAATCAAACTGATTCTATAAATCTAGCATCTCGTTTGCAACACTAATTTAAAGTTGAAACACTACCAAACTACTTAATGTAATCTCATTTATGGTGGCTTATCTCCTTTCAAATGTTACCCTGGGACTGACTGTCCAGTGAGCTACAAAGGTCAAATGGAGTCTCACTTTAAAGTTTATTGAACTCTGAGAAATTCAGTGTTATCCCAGCAGTGGGGGGTTGGGTTCTTTACTAGGTTTCTAGGTTTAGTTGAACCCTGCAACATACCTTTGACTAACCATGCCATAAACATGGCATGATGCCATATAATAGTGTTACCATTACTGTTAATTATCATGACTGACACCATACCATTTGATGTCATGACAGCTTATCAGCATCTGTCACATGTGTACTCTAGTTACTTGTCATGAAATCAAATATTATTGCATATATCAAGAGGCTTTAGAGGATATAGTAACATGACATTGTTATATTACTGGATATAATCTGCCATGATAACTCATGACAGCATAGGACATCTGCCACAAAACGTGTATGCCAATACAACACAGGATACAGCAAGGCTCAAGTAAAGTGTTACCCTTTTCTGCATGACTCTCTTTCTTTTACAAACAAATCAACCTCTTTTTTGGCAACAACAATCTAATTTGATGACATCTGACCATGGAAGCCAATCCAATGATGTACCAAAAATAGAAAATTCCTGCCACTTGCATTCATGGTTTGATAAGAGAAGATCTTTTATAGGCAGACTGATCACATCTCCTGTTTTCAACATTTCATTTTTTGGCCTTATAATAGATTAGGAATTGGAAACATTTTTATAATTTATGATCTATGGTTTGGATGATTGGTTTCATTTCACTTGTGTGAAATGCAATACACAAGACCTAAGTGAAGGCGATGAATGACCTTTGAAGGATCTGTAATTATAGACAAGAAAAATAAAATATAATTCAGAACATACATCTAATTTAATTTCACTTTGATCTTCTAAGGCTGCCAATAAATGTTACACTTATTTTCGAGGAAGCGTTATCAGTTCAGATGGAGGACTTCTCTTTGTTCTTAAATTGAATAATAACATTTATCTTTTAGCCAAGTTATAATATAATGCTGTTAAAAAAGGACCAAAAAAAAAAAAAAACTCTGAGCTCCTAATCAATTCCTTACTCTCTGCTGTTTGTCTCTGTACTATGAGCTTTGCCTGACAAGCTTCTGACACTTAGACCAAGAAAGAGCATTAGGAGGATTAAACTAGGATTCGACTTCTGTTCAACAACCTGCCCATGCATGCAGGATTAGGGGACTTCACTAGCAGGGGCCTCCATGACTGTATAGGTCTAGGTGAGGGAGCCTAGAACCCTGTGGCCAGTCACAGAAGACACTGACCACAAAAGTGGACAGAGTGCCATCTTAAATCTTGAAGTAGTTAAAAAAATACATTAATATTCATCAACACTTACCATTTATCAACAAATGTTGATAAATGGTAAATAAATGTATTACAGATTTATGATCATAGATGTACTGGGCATTAATGTAATCTGCATTCATATGAAAAAGTTTAAACATAAAATATAAATGTGCCAAATAAACAGTAATTTTGCTTTGAAATGTGCAGAAGTGTTCCTTGTAGATGATGTGCACTTTTTTCACTTGTAATATGTCATTTTACCAGGGATGTCCAAACATTTGCATACAACTGTTAATAATTCTATTATGATGCTACCATTTTACAGTTTAATAGCTTATTGCTATTAATAGCTTAATTGGTAGGAAGCTTCAAATAAAATGAAGTTTTAGATGTATTCAGAAAGATTGACAGTGTTGTTGTTGTACCCTTAATGCCTGAAAAAGGTGTATGAACATTGAGAATGAGGCCATAACAAAATTAATATCCAAACTGCCTCATATTTGAGATGTGGAGATGGAGTTTTAGGCAGATGTCTTAAAAAGAAATTCCTATAAATAAATAATTATGCTGAAACAAAGTAAAACTTAATTCAAATGTGTCCATTGGGCCCACATAAAAAATATATCAACATAATTCTGTGTAGAATTAATACATTTATAAACACATTTTTTCAGTGTACAGTATATTATTTATTATTTAATAACTTTTGAACTGTTGCATAGAACATCTTGTAATGCCTTTTTGCAGCTGATGTAGTATTTCAGGCTGCACTGTATAAGTTAGTACTGAAAAAAATAACCGCAATTGTTAAAATGATGAGTGACTCCAAACTTTTAAACGTAGTTTGGAGTACATAAAAGGTAAGAACTGATAGTTAACGATGACCACTGACTGTTTGTAGCTGATGATCACTATGCTGTTAAGGTGATACTGTAGGATTGTTCAACCTACACACTAAGCATACACACTGAAATTATTATGCATGACTTTATGCTGCAGACGCAGCAGATGGAGGTAAAGAAACGCTTGAATATTTCTTTAAAAACATTAACTGAAAGATTCTTTAAGGAATGAAAAGAGGTTCTTCTAAGGCATCGCTGTAAAAAATATTGTCAAACCTTTATTTTTATGAGCGTATTCCTTAAAGCATTGCTGTATTACATCACAGTTAGCATGTTAATTGGTAAGTGAAAGCACTCCTGCAATTTCTCTGAGAAGTCCAGGCACCTGCTGCTCTGGTCTACACTAAGTCTATTGACTGGATCTGGACGTTGCATCAGACGCTTTGTTTTTACAGTTTACAAAATGTGAATTACCACCTTACTTAACTTACAAACAAAGTATATGCCGAAATAGTCAATGAACACTAAAAAAATTTAAAAACTAACAAATGTTGTTTCATAAGTGCTAACTCCTTACTACTGTTGAAAAGGTTATTTTCTAGAGGGCATGTTAGTTACAAGATCTCTGGTGTTGCTGAATAATCTGTTAATAATAATCTGATTGATAACACTTTACTGTAAAGTTCATAAGGCTGTATCACAGCAAACCCTTCATGCCAACTGTCTTAGACCTCCATAAACATGTATAAATAAATGTAAAAAAACCTTTTATTTAATGTCAAAAGTTTGCAAGTTGGCAAACATTTTCTGTGGACCCTGAGTAATGTAAGATCCATTACCTTTTATAGAATTTAAGCTCTGTTACATCATCAGGATTATGTCACCATGATATCAACTAAAATGTGTTGTTATAATGTGCTAGCAATTCACATAAGAAAATGTCAATATTATAAAAAATAGATGTCACCTTACAAAGGTGTTATTGCGAACTGACATCAAAGTTGACAAATGCAGCCTTTGCAACAGACAAGCTATTGAAATAAATCTTTGTAAAACTCTGATTTGGCTCATGTCCGTTGTGACTGTTGCTATCACATAAAAAAAACTATCCTCGTTTTTTGTCATTTTTTAATTATTTTGCTACTATGAAAATGCCAGTTACCCTATGAATTGTGTTAAAATTTCATGATGAACAGACTAAGATAAATGGTCTGAAATTACTTTTAAAAATTACCTAAAAATTAAAATATTACAAAATGTATTCACTTTAATTGCAAGTTAAGAGATACAAGGTTGTGTTCTGACAGAGACAGAATGTCATGTGGCTCTACTTACACTGCCCTACGCACTTAACAGAGATGATTCTTTAAGGGTTCTTTAGGACAGGCAATGGTTGAATTTAGAACCACTAAACAGAACTTATTTATAGAACTATTTCATGCATAACTAGTTCTTCGTATGGTGAAATGGTTTTTCAGATTGATGTAGATGGAGAACCTTTTTGAAATGGTTCTATTTAGCACCAAAAAGGGTTCTTCTATTGTTACGATGTCAAGCTATTTTCAAAAAGGTTCATATACAATGCATCGTCTATCAATCTGAAGAACTATTTCACCATGCAAAGAACCATTTAAGCATGAAGTTGTTCTAAACAGAACTCATGGTTTAGAATAGAACCACTGCATTCACTAAACAATCCTTGAAGAGCCTTCCTTTATAGGTATGTGCAGTCACCAAGCACTCTTAGGATTATTCAAATCTGCTATTTGAAAGGTTACAACAGATTAGCAAATCGGTTGGAATATTAATGGTCACTATTAAGGGCAATAGGATTTTTCTATGCAGCTCCACAGCAGTCTCAAAACGTATTAAATTAGATGTGACTGTATAACAATGTTGTTGCTGGTGTTATGTTTAATGTCGAACTCTGACTGGGCACCTGGTCAGTCTTTGTCCTTCAAGCTCAGGCGGGCTGTGCTTCATCGAGGATGGAGCACGAGGGACAAATCTGTATGTAAGCAACGTAGCTGTGGAGACGGAGAGAGCACATCCACGCAACATTTGACAGCGGATCATGATAAACGCTTTTCTGGAAACGGATTTCGTGGGAAACTGAATTTCGCTGGGAAGGCAGAGGAAAGCAAAATCATGTGAAACATTCGAATTGCTTCTGGATAGTCCTGACTTTTGTGACAGAATGGAATTACGCTGGACTTTCGAGTTGATCACTTTCTTCATCTGCAGTCAAAGGGACTGAAACATTGTCTTCTGCTCAGCCTGGTAAGTTTAACGCAGCTTTAGTGAGTACCATCGACGGGGAATACCTCAGTTATCTTCTTTTTTCAGGAGTCGCTTCAAAGCCGTCCAGTTTGTTAACAACTTTCACGTAACAGGCTGCCTTAGTGTTATATCAGAAATGGCGTTTCTGTGGCGTATGTTAACAAAGTCCTATGTGAATCGCTCACAGACATATAGAAAAATGAATTATAAAAAGATAATGACATACGTCATGGACAAACAGTGCGAGCAGTAAACTTGCGAACTTCAGTTTTGTCAGATTAACGAAAGCAGCAAAGCATTGACGCCATGTTTAGGCACTATTCGACGTTATTCATTATATATCCTAATGAGATTTATTTTCCGAATGTGTTTAACAGAAGTGTTCTCATCTTTTCACTTACATTCTGAGCCCAGTTTCCTACAATGTCCTCTTAAGATGTGTTGGAAGCTGGATTAGAACAGTATCTGGCTGGGCTAACAGTTCTCAAACACTAGCAAGCTTGGAGTTTACCAGGCTAGGCCCAAGATACCAACACATTGGTACAAGTGGCATATTAGAGACAGGTACTTAAAATGATATTTAGATAAATGTATGTAATTAGTGTTTGAAATTATGCTATACCCAGGTACCAAATGGAAATACTGTTCCTCAGGATTTCTCTTGATTGTGGCTTGTGGACTACAGAGGTGATATTACACACATGAATCTTAGTGGTAGAATTCCATGGGAGGAAAGTGTGTTTTTCTGGTATGAACATCCATAAAATGTATGTATATTTTTTGGATGTTAATAGAGTAATGCAGTGGATTCCAAAAGAATGGAAAAGGGAAACTTGTTTTAATTTAAATCCATGAAAACATCTTACAGCTGTGGTATAGGGCAGCCTTTTACCGCAGCTGTCAAATAAAAGGCTCCCTTAACATTTTCATGACTTTAAATAAAACTAAAACAATCATGGAGCAAAAGCCGTGAGTATTTCGAGAATTTATCCCCCTTACTCATAATCTGAAATTGCTTGTTTGGCAGCTCAGATATCTGTGATTTCTAGTTTCATACAATAGGCTACATCAGAAAACTGTAGTATATTTCAAGTTTATTTAATAGGCTACATAACAAATATCACTGGTAAAGCCCTTGGCTGTGCCGTCTGACATGCCAATAGACAGAAAGTTCAGTCAATACATTTTTAACTAAATAATGTAATTAATGGCATGATCAACAATGTTTGTTGTTTCTGACTCCACAATTTAATTTTGCTAGTGTTAGCTAATGAGAAGAGGGGGCTAAATTACTGCAAATTCTATCCTCACATGTATTACTTAGTTATTAAAATACTAATCAACTTGATCACATTTGAAAATCTCAGTCAAGATTTTTTGTCAAAAGATATCTGTAATCATTTCAAGGCTTGCCCTTTGACATATGAATCCACAGTGCTTGTAAAATATTAAACTGTGAGGCCTTTAGCATTCTAAAGGTTTCTTTCTGAACTTTTGAAGTTTGCAAGGAACGATGGAGATGTCTGTAATGCAGTTGCTAGGGAAGCTGTGAAAGTACGAGGCCAAAGCTCTGGAAGTTAATCACCTCTGATGCTAAATACACATGCATAAAACCAATGAGAGATTTTTTCAAAATTTTTCCTTAAGATTTTAAGAGATTTTCTTTCTTCTTTAAACTTACAGTGGTTGCACAAAATATTTGGACATTTTTGCCATACTTAAAAATACATTAATTGCGTTATATGGGTGGTGCCTTTCAAATTGATATTGTTGGAACAGTTTCTTTGCAGATTTTTGCAGGTTTGCATCTAAAATTTCTTTGTACACACCAAAGTTCATGATCCCATTTATGAACCCTGACATCACTGTAAGCAATACAGCCACAGACTCTTACGTTTCCACCTTTGTTCTTTATAGTAGTTTTTCTGGTTTGAATTTCTCTCCAGGCTTTCTCCACCCAAAGAGCCTACAATCATTTTCATCTTGTGCTAAAAGTGTTTTTTTTTGTGTGTATAACAAAAATGTGAAAATATAACAATGCAGGTGATCCAGCAATATCCAATTTTGAGTGAATATAGAAAAACTAATGGAATTCTAATGGAAAAATTATGCTATAAAAATAGTTTAAAGTTCTACATCATAAAATCTGTCTGCATGTGGAATCTGGTCAGTATGTTGTATAGATACATTAAAAGGCTGAAAAATGTTTGTTGTTTTTTAGAACATTGGAATATACTTCACCAGATTACAGTTAAAGTTTAACTTAAGCCAGAAACATGTATACATAAATATTATAAATAAAGTATGTGTACAGTGTATACACAAGCTCTCATTTTCCTGTGCTGCACAAGTGGTGTTAGCAGTTTACATAATAACAAGTTCACAAATTAACATTCTAATGTAACATTTTTGTCATAAATGAAATAAATGTGGAGTAACATGTAATTTTTGACCTTGAAATATTTTTCTTCCTGGACATGACATGGCCAATTCTTTTTCAAATGTAGCTACATGAAAAGATTTAAGAAGATATCAAGTATTCTTTGGGCTAATTCTTCATAGGAAAGCTTAAAAACAGGAAGATCTGTCCCATGAATTGCTGCAACATGTGAATTTCTCAGCTTGAAACCGCAGCCAAACCGCTTAATCATCAATCCCTTACAAATCTACTGAAGCATTAAGAGACTACACACTGATTGATCCTAGGTTTTGTTGAACAGTGTTCCACCTTCCAAAAAAAATAAAAAATAAATAAGGCTACTTATTTATGCATTTATTTTATTTATATATGTATTTATATTATTATATTATTTACGTTTTTTTATATTGCTATTTATATTAAACTTAAGTTTCTTAAGGGTTTATCAGCTTGAAACCACAGCCAAACCACTTAATCATCAAACCCTTACAAATCTACGGAAGTATTAAGAGAGTATACACTGTTTGATCCTGGGTTCTAATAGAAGTTAAACTGTGTTCCACCTTTAAAAAAAAATCAGTAAATAAATAAGTCTACATATTTTTGTATTTATTTCATTTATATATACATTTATATTATTATATTACGTATATGTGTTTTTATATTGTTATTTATATTAAACTTAAGTTTCTTAGGGGAACAGAGTAAAAAAAGGAAATTCAGTATCAGTTTCAGCCTATACTCTGAACCATGACCATTCCTTCTGACAGTCACTGAACTGACAGCATAACAAGCAGCCCATTTTATTCCACTTGTCAATTGGCCATAACCATGATTATCCATAAGAAGCACCAGACATGTGAGATAAACTGGGGCTACAATCAGACACTATATGCTCTAGCGTCTCATAATGATGGAAGACATTAAGGAAATATTATATTAATAATCTTTGATAAAGTCTGTGGATAGATTAAACCATGGGTATTGTGGTATAGGGAGCAGAGAGAGTTTGCCCACAGAGAGGGAATGAGGGGTTTGACTGATAAACAAAATAGCTCAGGAACTGTAAAGTGGATCAGTAGAATTCACTTTTTTTGGATCTTATGTAGTTATGTAGTAATTTCTAAAATACTTAATGAATGTGTTGGAAACAAGTTTGTAAATTAGGTGAGGAAATGAGAATAAGTAAAAGTGAAAGTAAAAGTAAAATAATCTAGTTGTGTGGCAGACTCACCAATTAGTACTTATAGGGTTCCATTAAGAATAAACTAAAAGACTTTCACCGGGTTGTATGTAGTGAACAGAGACTAAATGCAGTCTCCCCTATCCCCTTCTCAAATCCCAATAAGACTGTAAGCAATACAGAAGTCTAGTTTAGTGTATATGGATATGTATATGTTCTAAAGCCGAAGCTGCTACAGAACGAGACAAGTATTTTTACTATTATTTCTTTGAGGCCCCCCAAAAAATCTCTGTACAGACTCTGCTGTTCTTTTTCTGAAATTGGCCAAGGCAGGAGAAGTAGAGGAGTGGATAAATTTCTACTGAAGTGCTTTCCTTTGCATTCTTCCTTCACCTGCATTGACAGAGAAAGGAGATGTGTCTGATTGCAGAGCAGAGGCTCACTTTTTGCTGAACACCTTAATTCTTGGCTTGTTTTTTAGAACCTGACTACAGTTTGCCATGGTATTTATCTGTTGAAACCCTGCCTATGTCCTTGTCACCTCCATTGTCTGGAATAAATGCAGAACTTCTTGTGCGTACATAAGATGATGGTATTGTCTAAGCTCTTTTGCTACATGGAAGGGACAGACGAAAGGAACGACTTTCAGGAAACCAGGCAGTGATATCTTGGAATGGCTGAAGAGTGAAGTTTGGAGCTCTGGTTATCTTCTTGCAAAGGACAGTTCCTGCAGAGTATGAGTAACCAAGCATTGGAAGTACACATTTACTGGAGCTCCAGGGATATTTAAAAGACTTATTGTTGTGGTTATTCTGGTCAAATGGTACAAGAACTAAATTGGTGGAAACCCCTTAGATAGTAAAGACATAATCCATCTCTAATCTTGTGTGGCCAGTAACTGGAGAGAGACATGACTTGAATACATCCATAATTCCCCTTTTGGCAACACTGTAGGACCAGGAGCTAGTTCTCGACTGGGTTCTGGAGAGGTTGGCTCAGGTATTTGATTGACTGTTTTGCTCTTGTAGTAGATTGTCCAGCCAGGTGGCTGAATTGATAAGCTGGGCCAAAAGGAGACTGTCATCCAGGCAAGCAAGTGCTCACAGTTTTGGATTACTTTTCTACTATCATTGCCTGATGCGTAGTCCAAGGTCAGTGATTTTAATGGGAACGAGGACACTGCAGGAGGAATCTTGTTTATTGAACCAGTTGAGAGGGGCTAACTGCAGACCATGAAAGAGATTGGTGACAGGTTTTTTCACGCACTACAGAGCAGGTAGATGACTAATGATATGATAAATATTGTATTCAAATGGAAACACTTAAAACATGCATAAAATGAGGTCCTTGGAAAATATGTTTACATTCCCCAAATATGACATTTCTCATGGAGTGTGTCAAACAGTGGGATCATAGAGTATAAACTAATTTATAGAACATAAATTAATTGCACATTGAGTTTCAGATTGTACATTACAATTAGTGTTGGACGATTTTCACGATTAACTCGGTTAATTCGAATTAACGATTTCACACGATGTTAGAAATGTGACAGTCGAGTTTGTACATGTTTACATTGCTTGTACTTTAATTAAAATACCAACAAGAACTATTCAAATTTCCAAGACGTTCGAAAAACGCATCTTAAATAAAACAAAACTCGCCTCTCACAGGTCTGTGCGCTGACCTCGGCCGCGCGCGGTAGAAAAAACGTACACAAACACTCCAAGATGGAGGAGGCGGCGCTTCGCAGAGGAGTGAGCTCGTACCAAAGAAAAGTGGGAACATCAGCTGAGTGGTGTGGAACTGGTACAGATTTGAAAAGTCAGATGTTGAACAAATTCACGTAAAGTCTAAGTTGTGTCTAAAGACAGTTGCAACCAAATGTAGCAGTACGACGAATCTGTTCCAGCACTTACGACACAAACACCCAGTGGAACGGGAGAAATGAGTGAAACAACGCTTTGAAATGAGCGGGGTTTCAGTGCGACATTGTGAAGGCCTCAGTACTGCTTGCGAAACGAAATTCTCGAGGGTTGTGCGAAGCCGAAAACCCCTTCGCGAGCTTATAAGCTCGCATACTTTCGGCGGTTTCGTGTTGCTTGTCGCGGATGCTCCACGTGACGCTGTGACATTTTATGATAAGTTTCATGACTGCTGGAAAACGATTCTTTCACAGTTCTAACAGAGTTGTCCATCTTTGTTTCATGGAGTTCGCCCAGCTGCCATGTGCGCGACACGGCGAATGAAGCCTCCGCGCGACGTCTGCGGTTGTTCGTTTTCTCCGCAATTCACATCGTCTCCGTAAGAAGTCTGCTGAGACCTTTACCTTTCAAATGGCTTCTCTTAAGCCTGAAACAGTAGATAGGCTCGTGTTCCTTTCAAGAAACCTGTAAAGAACCTTGTGGTTTGCACTTTTCTTAATGTAAGGAGGTCATGCTTGCACATTATTTAAAGTGAGAGATGCTTGTGAGCTTTAAGGAAGCTGCTTGCTATTCTTAAACGAATATCACTAATTAAGATAATCTTTTATGATTATAATCATAATCTTTTATGCTTTATTATATTTTTTTGTTACAAATTTTGTTGTGCTTGCACAGTTTGAGTCCCTTGAAAGGATATTTACAAGTAACCACTATTTGCACAATTTAATAATTATAGGTGGTGCTGTTACTATTTTTGCACTTCTGCAGACTGTTAAAGTGCAAAAAAGAAATGTTTTTTCCAATGGCATTATGCAAGAACCATCGGAATCGAGAATCTTCAATAAATTTTAAAATAATCGAGATTTTACTTTTTTGCAATATCGCCCAGCCCTAATTACAATACATGCCATTTTTTTCAAATACAGTAGTTTACTCACACCCCTAAATTGAACTAACTTAATTGAACTAACTGAAATGTACTGAAGCATATCAATGTGTGAAAAATCACTCCTTTTAGACATGGCTTTTTGTCTTGATTCAAGAATCAAGCAATAGTTGTCCTGCTTCAGGCCAGATGAAGCTGCTCACACATTCATGTTGGCTAGAGTGTGATATTTTCTTTACATGCTGAACAGCAGTGGGTGGGTGGGGCGGTGGGGGTGGGGGTTAGTGGAAACTGGAGAACTAATGTTGTAGTTAAATACAAACCTCAATTCCAAATTTTAAATAGTAATAAAAACAGAAAGCATTGATTAGTAAATCCTGCTTAAAATGTATCAAATTGAAAACAAAACAAAAAAGATTTCTTTTTATTTTAAATATAAAAAGTTCCAAATTTGTGTCTGCAACACATACAAAAAGTTGGAACAGGAGTATGTTTACACTGTCTTACATCACCTTTCCTTTTAACAATACTTAATAATATTTTGGGAACTGAAGAGGTTTGGATTATAGGTTGAACAGTCTAGCTCTCACACTCAGGTTACACAACCATGCTGTTGTAATACATGCATGTGGCTTAGTGTTGTCATGTTGAAATAATGAAAAAGATGTCATCTACAAGGCAGCATATGTTGCTCCATAATGTTTATATATATTACTGTGTTAGTGGTGCCTTCACAGATAAGCAGGTTACCCATTCCTTGGGCACTGTTGCACCCCCATACCACCACAGGCCCTGGCTTTTGAATTGTACTCCAGTAACAGTCTGGAGGGTCCTATTTTTCTTTGTTTTGGAGAGCACAATGCCTGTTATCTCCATAAACAATCTGAAAGTTTGAACTCATCAGACCACAATACACAATTCCACTTGGTATCCGTTGATTTAAGATGAGCTTAAGACCAGAAAAGGTGGCAGAGTTTCTGGACATTGTTGGCATATGGTTTCTGCTATGCATAATACTTTCTTAACATGTATTACTCAATGTAAACATTAACAGGACAAATCTGTTACACATTAATTACATCTACTTGCTTCAATATTGAGTAATTTTGAAAGCAATCATTTATTATTTTACAAAATAAAAACAAATTTCTTTCTCAGCTTTTTAAAATGCAGTGAGTGGGGAATATATGTTTCTTCAGAACAGTTTACAATTCATTTTAACAATAACCAATAGGATCCATAGAGTCACATGTGGTTTCTAAGAACATTTTCTAAGAAAAGACAAACAATTTTTGGGTTAAGGTAGAGAACTATTCCGGACAGGTATTCTTAGAGACTTTTAAATGTTGCTAGTTTTAGCCTGCCCAAAGTAGAATATCAACATTAGAGTGCAGACTGCCTTTAGCCTTACACAGCTTGCTTTCCTGGAACAGAGCGGAGTGATCCTCTTAACATCCAAGATGTACTGTGTATTTATAGACTGTCAACGTGCTACGGTTTTCTGCTTAATTTTTCTGTCCACGTGTTTTACCTCTCCTCTTTTGTTAAAAGAAAGGATTCTCCAAGAGTTATTTTTGAAAAACAATGTCTTAAGCTCCATGCAACTGATATAGATGTAAGTGCCTCCAGTCAGATTTAGAAAGTCTATTTTTACTCATGCAGAAACTACCTTAAAGGAAACATGTTTGTGAAGACAAATGAAAAGGCAAACCATAGACTCCTGATAAGGCTGTTTGGCCTTAATTTTATGTAACACAATGTATGCCTTACAATGTGATATGTCACCTAGTGTAAAGAGCAGCAGGCTTTTACAAGTGGAGTTACGAGGTTTTAAAACAACGGCGATATTTTTAGGTTATGATCATATTTTCAGATTCTGTTTGATTTTTCAGATTTGATTTTAATGTACTGTGCAAAATCTGACATTGTCCTTCATTTATTTAATTTCAGAACAGCCATTAGGTACAAGTCAGGAGATATTTCTGAGGACATTAGATGTAAGTTTGCAAAACTAGATTTTAAAAAGTAATCAAAAGATTTTGAGAAAGTGGGACTCCTAACAACCATGCGAAATCTGATACACCACCAAAATTGTCACCGTCTGATAAACAGTAAAGCGATCATCCTTGAGAGAAAATCAAGCTTATTTTGCGTTCTCTTATAAATGCAAAAGTCTTTCTGTACATCCTTTCGCTGTGAGAAGACAGCGCAGCGCTATGAGTCTGAAAGGATGTTCAGCTGTAAAAACTAGACAAAAAAAAAAAATTCTAATATCAAACAAAGAAGCTGCTGGTGTTTTCAGAAAATTGGACTGGCCACCCCAGAGCCCAGACCTCAGTATCATTTATTGTATTTGGGATTACTTGGATCATGAGAAGCAGAAAGGTAACCAATTTCTAAGACTGAGAGATGTGGAAAAATATCCCTGCAGATTTCTTGGAAATCTTCTCCTGAAAAGAAAGGTAGCTATAATAAACACAAAAGGTGGATACAAAAAATTTGTGAAACAGTTGATGTTGTGTTTAGTTGTTGAGACTTTTATGTAATTTTCTTTTACATAGGTTTTTTATGTTTTTTTCCAGATGCTGAAAATGAATATGTTGTACTTAATGGCTGTCCTGACTGGAAGTTAAATTCATGAAGGGTGGTTTGTGGCTTTGTAAAGAAAGCTTATTAAAAAATAAAGTTAAAGAAATGTAATGTGATGTTCACTAAACCGTTGAAGAATCATCTTTATGCTAAAAATGCTTTTGTGAAACCCAATTCTGATTTGGCTCAGATAAATGAAAGTTCTCAAATAGTACGTTTTCAGTGGCTGCAGCATTGGCTATAGCGCTATAAGAATCACAAGCTCTAAAGTTTATAATTTCTTTAGAAAAAAGGCCATTTAAGCGTGTCATTTAAGCTTGTGTCTGTCCATAGCTTATGCCCCACCCGCTGTACTCTGATATGCCTGCTTTTGATAGCTGACAGTGGTTTCCACAGCAGTAAATGAGAGATGCTTGAAAGAGAGCAAGGGATGTATTTGTGATAGTTTCAAAATTTGATTTTTCAGTACTGTATTCAAATTGTAACAAGCTTAGCAATAATATGCACGTTTTATCTTTGTGCCACATGCATATTTTGAATTGAAAATTTGCTGTAGTGTTACTGACTCCTGTATCATTTCTGCAGCTGTCGCAAACATCTCCTGTGCAGTTGGTAGCATAGCAGGAGAGGGAATGGCCAAAATCTGCACAGAGCAATCGTACTCCACCCGCAGGTCTGCTTTTACTCCAGAGCCGGACCCCGAGTGGGTTGATAGAGAAGACAGGTCAGATCACACGTACAGTCACACATAGACATATGTATTTTTTTCTTTTTGCTTATCTGAATCTTTGAAATGGTTATCTGAATCTTTGATTTACCTTCATGTCTGAATCAGTGCATTAAGATGTTTCAATGCAATTTCTATCTGATCTGGCATCTGTGTCTCTTGAAAAGCAGGTGTTATTCATCACATGGAGCTTTGGGCAGGTAATTTATTTTCTGTGCCTCTGGAATGACACTGTAAATACATATAAAGTTAGGGGGGCACCACTCACGAATTGTTATGGCCAATTTCGTTACAGCCAAATTAGTGACTGGTGGCCAATGTGTTGGCTGATTTTTATTAGCCTTTTTGTTTTTTAACCCAAAGCTCACACTGTGTGGGCTAAATTGACATGTGAAACACACTAACACATTTCTTGTGCTTTTTAGCCAAAGTTAGCCAAAGTTACAATATAAATAACATTATTTGTTTTCTTTAATGGGCCAAACTGTAATTTAAAAAACAGTTGCCCCTTTAAAAACATGAATCAAATGAATTGCTATATTAAAAGTGAGAGTGAGTGAACAGACTATTCAGCACAGTGAGTCATACATAATTATGCTACAGTGTTTTGATATAGGTGTAGCAGTGAACTAACCTGACTCTAACCTAATAAATTGAAATAAAACACAATAAAAGAAAAGCACAATAAAAAGCCTCATCTTACATTCATTTCAGTGACATCAGTACCCAACATTTCAGTATGTAAATACAGCAAAATACATGTATTTTAGTGGAAACTTGCTTATACAGTGTAGAGCTACTTCTGAGATGTAAATAGACACTTTGAACACTTTATACATGTATAGCTTTATACATGTTTCACAAGATATAGGAACAACAATGGTAAAAATAACTATTTAATGCATTAAGATTAAGACATCTCCCATGGTGGCAGTGGATCAGTAAGTAAAAACTGTTATTTTGCACTTGGCACAGATAACTTGTTTTGTAAATAATAACAATAATAATATGTTTTATCTTGTCTTAGGATATCTCGGTTTGTGCTCAGACATGGAGGTGTATCACAAAGGAAAAAAACTGCAAAAAGCAGTTCAATAACGGAGGGCTCTGAAGATGTTCCGGAACAGGGTGGGGAAAGCTGGGACAACAGGGAAGGTGAAGATAAACTGCGAAAGAGAAAGTGAGTGAGATGTGTGTTGCTTTATTAGCAGTAGCCAGATAAATATCACTTAAGTGAGCCATTTAAAACGGCTAACTGATAATAGTGATTCACCTATGCCACTGCTTTTACAGTGTAGAGCTGTATCTGAGACAGTGGCATGTGAATCATTAAAAGAATTCTCCAGTGTTTTCAACCTAATTTACATCTGCAATCACTTATCTTGGATAGTAATTTCCCTTTTCCTTTGTAAAAGACCTAAAAAAAAACAGGAGAAAGGAAACACATCTGCCCATGTACTTCTATTATATGTTTTAGGTAAACATGTTCTTCTGTTTTTATGTAAATACAGGGGAGCACTTTATTTATGAAAATTTATATATGATCTCGCCCAATGACAGCTGGGATAGGCTCCAGCACCCCCCCATGACCCAGAAGGATAAGCGATTTAGATGATATGTGTGTGTGTGTGTGTGTGTGTGTGTGTGTGTGTGTGTGTGTGTGTGTGTGTGTGTGTGTAATCCAGTGGTGGATGAAGTACACAAACCATGTACTTGAGTTAAAGTATAGATACCCAAGGTAAAATATTACTCCAGTAAAAGTAGAAGTCCTCCTTTTAGACCTCCACTTGAGTAAAAGTACAAAAGTATTTGCCTTCAAATGGACTTAAGTATCGAAAGTAAAAGTAATAAAAGATTAATTATAACTCTAATGTCCTGTTACCATTTTTGTAACAAGACTCTTGCTTCATTAACTCATTTTAGGTGAAAATACTCTAGTGTCACTCTTGGTAAACCAATCTTTGAACAGTCATTAATTCATAGTCATTAATGAATCTTTAGTCATTAATGAATCTTTGTCATTAATTAGTCTAACGCTGATGTCTATTAAAATTATCAAAAGCACAAAACACTGAAGGCAAACAATTTCCATTCGGTAGAACCAAGTGGCTATGAAATAACCTTTTGTGAACAAGCAAAGTTTCGGTTTAAGATTTATTTGCAACTTAGTTACAAGTTTAAGTTTAATAAAAACTTGCTTTAAACAAAGGTTCACAAATGAGTTTTCCTTTACTATATTGCATCTGTAGGTCTCTGTTCATAAACATAAACTAGCAAAAACAAATTTACTATAAAAGGAAATAGTGTTTGTATAAATTCAGAAAAAAGACACATGCCAGTCACAACTGCACGCGTACATATTTCTATATTGTGGTCTATTTACACAAAGTTAGGTTAGTTCCATCATTTATGTTGGCATAGGCACCAAAATTTTATGCTGCTGCACTGACGTTGATCTGTATGCTTGCACTGGGTAGCTATGACCAACAGGTCAAAACAAGCCCAAAACAAAGTGCGCACTGTACCCAGATTGTGTGCTTGCTTTACACTTTTTTCGTTTTGACATGTTACGTTTTTATACACACATAAGCCAAAAGGAACTACAGATTTCGCATAATGTAGTGGAGTAAAAAGTAAATATTTGACTTTGAAATGTAGTGGAGTGAAAGTAAAAAGTCGCCCAAAATGGAAATACTTCAGTAAAGTACAGATACACAAAAAAAAACACTTAAAGTACAGTAACAATTTACATTTACTTTGTTACTGTCCACCACTGATATAATCTGTGTATTGCCTGTTGTTTGCTACATGTGTCAGATAGAGTCTAGGTTAACAAAAAGCTAGAGTTTTCCTTGAAGAGCAGAACTGTCAATACCCATTTTCAGTGGGAAGAATACCTTCCTCTCCAGACTTTTTTTGAGACAAAGCAGATAAACGAAATTTTAGCTTGGGCACATCAATAGAGGTGGGGCAAACAGTGTTGCTTTTTGCATTAAGCTGATTGCATCAATCTATATTCACATCTAAGAAAGTCACATGTAAACTGTTGTGTAAAATAATATATGCTGACAACAACTGAACTGGGAGAGCCATTGAGCCATTCATATGGTTCAACTACTGATACAATTTACTCATGATACACATCCTTAATGCAGTAAAAGCATTATGTTTCTGACTAACTAACGCTTGTTTTGGTTAACTTTGATCTACTTTGCAGCCACAACAGGAATAGTGGTCACTGGCCTCTTGCTACACTAAATATGAATAACTGCAACAACACAGATGAGTAAGTTAGTTAAAGGGGAAATCCACTGAATTTTTTTAAATATAGGAAGAACTTAATTTTTTTGCCTGCATGTACGCTCTACCCTGAACATGCTGGTTTTAATTCAGTTGGGAGTTACCCCCCTCCAAAAGTACACAACATACTCCCTGTCCCCCCATCATTATTTGGGGGTAGTCATGGGCTGGAGGTTAGGGAACCAGCCCTGTGACTGGAAGGTCACTGGTTTGATCTCCTGAGCCTACAGTACGTGACTGAAGTGCCCTTGAACAAGGCGCCTAACCCCTAACTGCTCCCCGGGCGCCTAGGATAGGGCTGCCCACCACTCCGGGCAAGTGTGCTCATGCCCCCTAGTGTGTTGTGCATTCACTAGTGTGTATGTGGTGTTTCACTGCACAGATTAAATGCGGAGGTGAAATTTCCCCGTTGTGGGACTAATAAGGGTCACTTAACTATAATGGTTAAATAATGCAGAAATTTGAAAAATCTGTGGAATTCCCCTTTATATATTATTATAATGTTTTGTACTTTACCATATAATACTAAACTCATTATGGTATGATATTAATCACACAAAATAATTTATTAAAGCAAACCAAAGGATAACAAGGAGATAAAGAAAGATGACAAGAAAGAGGACGTAAAAAAGGACGAAAAGAAAGATGAGAAGGTGGAGAAAAAAGATGACAAAAAGGACGAGAAAAAGGATGATAAAAATGATGCAAAAAAGGATGACAAAAAAGACGACAAAAAAGATGACAAAAAGAAGGAAGACCCACCGTAAGTAGTTGAAGTTTAGAGGATTTAGCAGCTATTTTAGCATATTATTGCCATTCATTAATAAAAATCTTCAAAAGGATTTAAAAAGCTGAACAATTAATCACTAAATATGTACTTTTTTCAGAAAAGAATATTGGATAATGGACCCTGCTACAGATATGTACTACCACTGGCTTACTATTGTAGCAATACCTACCTTCTACAATTTGATGATGCTCATCACCAGGTAATTTATGACATGGTTACATTAAGCAGTTCTTCAGGGCAACAAAGAAACATGGAAAAACAGATTATATTTTTTTTAAACTTCTAAATCCTTCTTTTTAACACCTGCTACAGATTCTATATCAGGGCCTATGATAAGGTCACTCGAGAACATTTAATTTGTTTATGGATCTAGTCACTTATTTTCCCTGGTTCTAAGCAACTTTACTTGGCCAAAAAAGTTATCCATAATATTTACTGGTATCACTTTGTTCTGGCTGTTTGTCCCTGCTGAAATAGAAGCAACCTCAAAGCATGATGCTGCTACTAGTATTCATTCTGTTCATGCTCAATATACTGCTTGACACTGAAACTATAAATTACATGACCACAGCACATTTTGCCAGATTCAGGTGCACTGATGGAAATCACAGTTGAGCTTTACAATGTTTAAACAGTGATTTCCTTCTTGCTGTGTGTGTTTGTGCAGTATTCTGGAATTATTGACTGTTGAAGATTTCAGAGTTTTTACTAGCCTTGGAGTGGCATCTTTTACAGGTTTCTTCATGGTCTGGAAGTTTAGCTTAGATGGACAATTTAGTCATTCTTTGTGTTTTGAAGTGTGTCTTCCACGTCATAAGTACAAAATAAAGACTGCACACAGGTTTGTTAAGAGATTCATGTTACTCTCTTTTCTTGATCTGTGCTTTTTAGTGACTTTCTGCTTTATCTAACTTTTTTCACCATCTCAGTGAGGAATCTTAAAGGCACATTACTGGAATGGTTCTAAGTACTGACAGCGCCCTCCAGAGTACAGATCAACCAAGACAAAGGCTATAAAAACATGTCTTTGTTGTTTAAAAGCTTGCTCTAGCAATGAAAGTATGAAATAAATCTTAAATCTCAATTAAGAGATGTTTTCAAAGAAAGACAGACAAAAATGTCAGGATTTCTTTTTTCTTTTAAGTATTTTACCTCAGTGGAAGGTTAGATTTCTTAGTTATTTCTTGGTGTTAGATCAAGGTGATAAATAATACATTTTTTTATATACTGTACACAATGCTGTTTTTTCTCTTTTTTGTCAAGCTCGCTTTAGATTATTTTACCACTTGGAAATCTGCAGTTTGAGTCTGAGTGTATGCTTTGGACATCGTAGCTATGATCTGAATAGTTATTTGAAAACTAGCATATACCATCCTTTGACTTTTCTCTTCCTTATCCTTAAGTGGATTATCTTGTATCTAATCACCTCAGAAATATCTCCTAAAAAATTGTCATTTTTTTAGAGCATGCTTCAATGAGCTGCAGGATAATTACACCATGCTGTGGATTGCCCTGGATTATACATCAGATGTTATCTACTACATTGACACCTTTGTCAGATCCAGAACAGGTAAAACACATTTTGTATATTTGTATATATATATAACACATTTAGCATAAGTTTGCCTATTTTGTCTAAATATTCATGCTAAATAATCTACCAGGTTTTCTGGAGCAAGGCTTGCTGGTGAAAGATCATAAGAAGCTATTGGAACACTACAAAAAAACACCACAATTCAGATATGACCTGATCGCAATGATACCAACAGATGTATTTATGTTTTATGTGGGCATAAACAATCCTGAATTGAGATTTAATCGTCTTTTCAAACTGTCTCGACTCTTTGAGTTCTTTGACCGAACTGAGACGAGGACGAACTTTCCCAATATCTTCCGCATTGGCAACCTTGTACTCTACATCTTAATTATCATTCACTGGAATGCCTGCATCTTTTTTGCTATCTCCAAAACACTTGGCTTTGGGACAGACACTTGGGTCTACCCCAACATCAGTGATCCTGAATATGGCCGCCTGGCAAGGAAGTATATTTACTGCTTATACTGGTCCACGCTCACTCTAACAACCATCGGAGAGACTCCACCTCCTGTTAGAGACATTGAGTACTTGTTTGTTGTTACTGACTTTCTTATTGGTGTGCTTATATTTGCCACTATTGTTGGTAATGTTGGTGCCATGATCTCCAACATGAATGCTTCACGTGCTGAATTCCAGGCCAAGATTGATTCCATTAAGCAGTACATGCAGTTCCGTAAGGTCACTAAAGATCTAGAGGCTCGTGTTGTGAAGTGGTTTGACTACCTTTGGACTGAAGAGAAGACTTGTGATGAGAAAGAAGTGCTTAAGTACCTTCCAGACAAGCTAAAGGCAGAGATTGCCATCAATGTCCATTTGGAAACTCTGAGAAAGGTTCGCATATTTCAGGACTGTGAGGCAGGCCTGCTCATTGAGCTGGTGCTCAAGCTTCAACCTCAGGTCTTTAGCCCTGGAGACTACATCTGCAAGAAGGGTGACATTGGCCGTGAAATGTATATCATCAAAGAAGGTAAGCTAGCTGTGGTAGCAGATGATGGTGTCACACAGTTTGTGGTACTCAGTGATGGTGCCTACTTCGGCGAGATCAGTATCTTGGGCATCAAAGGTAGTAAGGCTGGAAACCGTAGAACTGCCAACATTCGTAGTGTGGGCTATTCAGACCTCTTTGCCCTCTCTAAAGATGATCTCATGGAGGCCCTGACTGAATATCCAGATGCCAAGCAGGCTCTGGAGGAGAAAGGCAGGGCCATTCTGATGAAGGATGGCTTGATTGATGAGACAGCAGCCAAAGCAGCAGATGCTAAAGACCTAGAGGACAAGGTGGCTATGCTTGAGACAAATCTTGAGGTGATGCAGGCCAAGCTTACACGCATAACAGCAGACTGGGCAGCCAGCCAGGGCAGGATCAAGCAGAGGATCAGCAACATGGAAGCCAGAGTGAAAACACTCAGGGAGGATGACCTGTCTGAGGTAGTAGAGGAGAAGAAAGACTAATAGTTCTATGAAGTTCTGTTACTATTCTTACTTTACAGTAGATCTCAAGGTTGGAACTTGCATGAAAATACAGAAATACAATTACCAAAAATCTTAAATGGATAGTAACTGCCGAGCACCCATTATACAACTTTAAAGAACTCTATTTTATTTTAAAAAAAATGGAGATCTATGGAGTGCTTGGCTGGATATTAGTTATTGGGTTGACTATCATTTATGCTCTGAAGAACTGCATTTTATAAAAGTGAAAATGTCTCAGAATGTGTTGCATTATACTGCATTTACAAAGTGTAATATTATACTAGGAATACAAATTTCCTGAGCTTGGTGGATGCAATCAAAGCTGGCTCCTTCAGTTGTTCTTAATTTATGACAATTTTATGAGAATTTCATGACACCTTATGTAAACATACACATGCATAAGACAATTTTGGGGATTTAAGTCTCTAATATTTGCCATGTCAAACATATGCCTTTTTTAAGCAAGAAAAGAAAAGAAAAGAAAAAATGCACAGCATCAGAGACTTCTCACATCTAAACTCAGGGCAAATTGTTTAATATGTGAGCAATCATATTTTTAGACAGAGACTGTGTTTACTTTTAGCAGGGATCCAACTTCAGATTGTCTTGTTTGAATAAATACTAAATAAAAATGTATCTGCATTTGTCATTTGTTTTAGCAACAGGTATAGTTCAAAGGAGAAATATCAAGCTATGCAATCTGAGAGTTAATAGTGCACAAGTACTTTTAGTTTTAAAATAAGTCCCTTTACATTTAATAAATCTTATGACATTTTAATCAACTTGGAAATAAGTAATTATACTGTCAGACATAAGCAGTTCATTTTACCATGTGCACACAAGTGACATGCATGTAGTAGTAGAGGTGATAAAGAAACCTTCAAATATTGTGAGAATTCTTCAAAACACACAACTATAAAACAAACTTTGGGAAAAGTATCTGTGTTGATTAACAGCATGCCGCAGAACATTCTGACTAAGTTTCTGTCAGCTTTATATTTTCATTCGTTTTTACTACATTTTGAAGAAACATTACAGGTTCACTTATCAGTAAACCAAATGGAACCAGGAACCAAGAGAACATTAATTGAATGAATTACAGTTTTTATAATTAACTCTCCAGTTTTTCTCTCCACACTTTAAAAGCCTTTGACAATGGATTGAAAATCCTTTTGGTATGAAAACAAAATATCTAAAGTTAATTTATATGATTTTTGGGACTTCTGCGAAAAGTTCATTTATGGGGCCAAAATTAAAAATGTAACCATTGTTTCATTTGTTATAAGCACACCTACTCACCTAATACAGCAAGTGAGATTTTCTAGTTTAAAGACTAGGAAAACCACTGTGGGTTATAGAGGGATCTTTGTTCACAATCAAAAGAAATGACGAATCACTCATTGGGCCTGATTAAACTTGCTCTTAATAAACCAGACTGACTAATTCTCTGTAGAACTCTAAATTTCTCTAGAAGAATTTCACACCAAACCATTCAAAATGACTTTATTTACATATGCTAACCATACACTAGAAGACTGAAAAGACTGAAATCTGACACCCTCTAACATCTAAAGACAATGTCGAGAGTGTTTAGTCACAGTCCTCTGCACATTTCCTTACATTACTGTTACGGGCTCAATGACCTTGAATTATTAAAATAGCCAGTATACACTTTTAGATTAATATGATTATCGTTGAGATGTTGGGCAATCACACATGCATTTTCTCCCCTGCCCACTCTCTCTTTCTCTCTCTCCCTCTCGCTCTATCACTATTTGCATGAGCCATAACCTAAAACTTACTTATAATATTAAACATGGTTGATTTCATTGCAAGTGTAAGGCCAGCATTAACCATTTAATTATGCAGAAATTTTGAAAAGCTGGTGGAGTTTCCCTTTAAAGGAACATTCCATGTAAAAAAATTTATGTCAGTGACAGCAAATCAGCACTGGCCATTGTGAAGAATGATGGCTAAATTGCCTTCACTATACAGAATCACGTGTTAAACTGTGGATTATATCTTTGATGCATCATTAACAGTACTTGAGTGATACTTTGCCCTTCACCACGATCTTTTTGCTCTAGCGCTTTTGGGAAACAGCCCCTTTAACCAGCAGAAAAATTTTGTAGGAATCTCTGCCCTGTGCTGCATTTTATATCTCCCCACTCTAAAAACACAATGAACTCCTAGAGAATACTTTATTTAAATTTATGAAAATGTTCATTTTCATTTTGTTAAAGATATATGTTCGTATATTTTTTCCTACAGATAACAAAGATCTATTTGTGGTCATTTTGACTATTATGCCTCAAAGATTGGAGACTGCCCAACACTTCGGGGCCCAGTTTGGTGCTTTGTGATTTCAAAGTTGATTCCATCAGCTGTTCACGTGTTTCTCTAAGAAGCAAACACATATGACAAATTATTTTAATCAAAAGGTATGCACTTTGCACTGAAAAAGAAATTGCTACTTTATACAATACATAATTACAAGCTTTTTGTGCATAATTAGCTCCTCACTGAGGCACATCTAACATTGTATTTAAATATTTATCTTTAAATGTCAACTTAAAAAATGTAATTACCTGTCATCTTTAGCGGCATTTTCTTTTGATGTTTTAGAAGGTGAACTTTCAGAAGGTGCAAACTCTGCTTGAACCATTTCAGGAGTAAGACCAACCGCCGCACGTTCAGCTCTGTTGAGAGAACATACTGCCACTTTAGGTCACGTTTGTTCACAAGAACTGTATATGGGTTATTTGCATTAATATACTGCACACAAGGTTACATATGAAATAATCATTATGCATATATGTATAGGCTATGTAGCCTATGTAAATTTTATGTGTATTTCTTCTGTAATAGAAAGATTGACCAGAACTGCTAAACCATTGCCAGAACTATACCATTAAGTTTGCAAAAAAAAAAATCATGGCACTTTGATTCCACCACCAGTCTTTACCGATCATCCTTTCAAAGAGTATTATTGACTTCTGCATAACAGGCCTAGCACCAGAATTAAAGCATGTATGTAGGCATCCAGAAACCACAGAAAGATACAAAGGAAATACGCTCATACAGGAAAAATACAAAATATTTGAGATATATTTCAAATACATTGTTTCATTCCAAAATGTGTTCCAAACACTGAAGTACAGTAAGCAAAAACATTTTGGGCCATCTTCTCATATATTTTCAAAAGTATTTGATAAATACACAATATAACACAATATATACAGCACAATGTCCCATTATGGTGTGGTGTTACCCACACCATACATCAAGCTGTGCGTCTCACTACTAAAACGTCTAATGCATGGCTGCAAGATGCTAGGCTATGAGTCTCAATTATACTGATTATACACTGATTATGGCTTACACTTCAGAGAGAATCTCATCTTGGATGCTATCAGGAAGGTTGTGCAGGACTGGTGGGGCTTCCAGGGGCAGGAGAGAACTGTTAAAGGGATCAGACCTGCACAATAACAATATCAGTACAGTATATGACTCAGCGTGAACTGCATACACAGTACTGTGCAACAGTCTTAGGTACTAAGCAAACTGTTTAAAATCATTTATCTCAGCAGTAAGTGTGTCTGCCTGTAAATCACTATATAACATTTGAATAAATACAAATAAACAGTGGTTAGGTCCAGTATTTTGGATCATAAACAGCTCCTGGAGCAATCACAGCGAGCCTCTGACCAATCAGGCATGATAGAGGTGGACCCCTCCAGTGACTTTTTTGTTTCTTTGTGTTTGGAAATGGTTAAGCAAACACATTAACATGTAAAATCACTACTTCTTGTAGTATTGCTATCTGTATTTATTATACTTTTAGCTTTTTTCGAAGCAAATAAACACTTAGTTCTCAGAAAACAAAATTTTAAATATAATTTTCTCAGGTGCCTAAGAGTGTGTGTAGCTATATTTTTATTCTTACATGCATGGAGACCAGTTACTGCTTGTTAGAGTTGATGTACAGGCAACAGCAGTCAGGGCCATGGAGGGAAACTTCTTCCATATCATGATCCCTTTTATCATGTCCTGCATAAAATGTCACAAACAGATAAGCATACCTGAATTTTTTACCACCTCTTTCCAAAACAATACTTATGGCAATATGTTAGTTATGCTCTTTATTAAAAAGTTGGAATTTTCTTACAATGAACTTTTTATGGGAAAAACAGCCTTTCAACATACATGGAAAAGCGATACAAATCAACTGATTGACTGAAGCAGTTTCTAAATTGTTTACTTACAGTAATTTCTTTAATTTGACAATTTTATGCCCCTCAATGTTCCTCAAGAGGAGTCAGATCATGACATTCATTTGAATGATCTTTATTTGTTTTGTATCTTGCTTTAAAATATGTCTTTTAACAAGTGTTTAAACAAATACTCCTGAATTTTTCACATGTGGTCTTAACCACACACACACACATTTTCTTAGCCACTTATCCTTCAGGGGGATCAGCAGTGATCAGGTGGAAGGCAGGAAACACACAGGACAGGTTGTCAGTCCATCGCAGGGCAGACAGACAGACATATACATTCACACACACATTCACACCTAGGGGCAATTTAGCATACCCAGTTGGCCTGACTGCATGTCTTTGGACTGTGGGAGGAAACCGGTGGAAACCCTCGCAGACACTGGGAGAACATGCAAACTCCTGTCTTAAATACACCTGTAACATAAAGTCTATTACTCTGGACAACAGACCTGTTGACTCAAAACATCATATTACAGGTGTGTTTTGAGTCAACAAGCTTTCTGCTCTTTTGTAAAGATGAGGAAATGTGCTGAAATTATCAGTAAAACCAACCAACTGTATGCAGTAGATGGAGCAGATAGAGATCAGGTTGAAAAATCTACATAATCCAAAATGTGAACTTCAAACATATTTTAGAGTTTACATATCTCCTTCCCTCCTTGCCTTTACAGACAAAACATTTGTCCGTACTAATGAGTGCGGTTTGCTTTTGGATTCAACTTTAGCTGACAAGAGTGAAAACTTTAACACAGGCTTACCGTTCTGTCTAGGAACTTCTTCTGAGTGCTGGGAGTATAGACTCCAACAATGTTGCCCTTGCAGACAGTGTGTCTTGGCAATGAACAAAGGTGGTACTCTGGGTCACTCTCTAGGTAATTTGGTTTTGGCTTAAAGGCATGCACACCGGGGGCAGGGTTCTGAAATAAACACGGAATAAAGCATCTTAGGGTTATAAAAGCATGTGTATACATTGCTTTGTATACAAGTCTGGATTATAGTACTCTTAAATCAGGACAAAGCTGTAGAACCTCATAATAATGACAGATAAAAAAATAACATCATGGTACTACAAGACATTTTCATGATACACAATAAGAATGACAATATTTTGTTTTTCTGAAGTTGGATGAAAAATTTGTTATATGTTTTACATACTACACTGCAATTAATCCAATTAAAGAAACTAATTATGCTCTCTTTATAATGAAACATGCGGTTGATCATTGTCCTTTAAGTACTTATCATTTCTATGATATGCTCAGAAAAAGATATTGTGATGTATTTTATCATAATAAAACATTCATATTGCGTACCTCTAACAACACTATTGTTAAGGAGTGAAATACATTTTATGCCAGCTGAGTGGATGGATTCACTGTTCAATATGCTAACAGAATAAATGAAATGTACTGAGCACAGGGTACAGGGTAGTAGAAATTAAAGATATAATAAATTAAGAGGGTAATAATCTCAACATTGAAAATACAAGGACAAGTATACAAGGCCATTCCAGTTTGCAATATTTTGTTTTGGAATAAAAATAATATGTTGTTGCTTTCCAAAACAAACAAACAAAAAAACAAACAAGTATCTCCATTTTTTTCCCATTTTTATTTTTCTACATCAATTGAGCACAGCAGCTATCCTTCAAATTCAACATCATGTCAACATCTCATCATGAATTAATCAATAGAAATGGTGCAAAATTATTATTAACATTACATTAGAAGTAAAGAATGTGTTTGCCTTCTCCTGTAAAGTTACCAGATTTTTTTGGACAGCAGTGACATTTTTAAATCTGTATAGTATATAATTAGTGCTCTACAGAAAAGATCAAAAATCAACTGAATTTTGACCCAAGAATCAAGAATCGTACTAAGCCTGAAAATATGTGTATGGTTACACTCTTAGTAGAAATGTAAAGGGAAGTATTTACAAAGATCTTGAGAAGATGGGCATTCAGTGGATTTAACAGATTTCTAGGAGCACTGAAACTCAAGGGGGTGTTGAGCTCCTGCTCTGATCCATGCTCCTCCTGCAGCTCCTTCTCCTCCGAGACTTCCAGTGTATAACACATCACTGTGGGCAACAGCTCATCCTGTAAAAATACACAACACAAACTTACACACTGACCTATACTGAGAATCTTTCAAAAACATTTTAACACATCTTAGTAGTACACACACAGGGTATGCTAGGGATATCATTATCGAAGACTAGTGTGTTACCTGCGCTCCAGTGCGTAATGGCCTATGCAGTTCATATTGGACAAAAGAGACTGCAGCATCATAGGCAGACACTTCCTGATAGCCCATTAGCCTGTAATGCTGAGG